AACTGCGTATTCTTCTAAAGTTTTCCCATAGATACACGTCCAAACAAGATTAATTTTATTATCTAAGCTACGCAATGGAAAATATATCTTTGTTTAACCCTATGAAGGCTGGGGGGTCTGAATCTATTCATAGCTTGGGGGGGCTCCCACGCCCCCCCCCCCCCTAGAAAAAGAACTTAGAGAATAGGTATAGGGTTGAAATGCATATTACTAGCCCAATTTTTTAAGGCCAGCTCATTGAAAAAAAGTTTGACCGAAAACTTTAATAGTTTGGGTGCTGGGGAGGGATGAACAAATGCCAAAAAAAGGGTCAAAAAATGTTTCTCCATTTTTCAAGGGCTTTTCAAAAGTATAGTTTTTAGATCCATAGCTTGAGATCTATTAATCTATCTATCTTGTAATCCAATAAAAGATCCACATCTAAAGGCAAAGAATAACCGAAATTTTTTACTTACATTTAAACATAGATTGTCAATTTTTTACTTACATTTAAACCTGGGTGATATCAAATAGATTGTCAAGTTTCAACCCTGTTATTTAGTCAATAGAACGTTAAATGATGATGTGTGAAAACAGAGTAAAAAAGAATACATAAAATTGCATTGATTTCACTAAAAGATTAGCACTCTAGTCTTACATTATCACTTTTATTTATAGTTTTTTCAGACACAGAATTTGACACTCATGACGTAAATACAGCTGTACTGAAAGTGTACGCGTTCTGTGTTGTCATCTATTGTACTTGACAACCTATTTGGGTGATATAGGGATTTGAGGTAAGTAAATTCCTTTACAAATAATAAAACTAATCTCACAAGTTATTCGGTCTCAAAACCTTCTGCCAATAGATTATCATGTCGATATTGCATTTGCATTTTGTACATGTATGCATTGAATGAAGTTTTTGGTATTTTTGGAAAATATTTTTATTGTAATGCCGGGTTTAAAAACGCTAGTTATACACCCTTCAATCTTTTAACTGCAGATCCCTCTTAAAAGTTAATATTTTTAGAATTTTTTGAATAATTCTCTTTGAACCTCTTAAAACCTTGAACTCAATCTCTAGAAAATCCTCCAGAGTAAGCAGCTCAATGATTGTAAACTTGTATTTCTCCATCTAATCTACAAATTAATCTAAATTTAAAATCTACGCACAAAATCTATTCTTGAATATTCATTTCTCAGTTCCAACCTTGTACCTGGATATATCCGTCCTTCAAACAGTTATCCTTCCCCACACATCATTTAATTCAGATTGTATTGGTTTACAACTATTTTGGTTCTATTAGATGGAAATTATATTTAAACATCCGGGTTTAGAACAGGTGCCACAAACTTGTCTAATTTTCTATAGGTTTTTGCCACACAAACTCTGATTTTTTCATCCCTATATCTTTGCAACCCAATGTCGTAGACCTTTGATATTTCAAATTATGCATTTTGGTGGATCAAATTGTATAGTTTACACCATCAGGTTGGAGAGATATAGGGATCAAGTTTGTAACGAGAACATATTATTTATCGTGTTACATGTTTACTCCGACATAGGATAAAAAGCTAGAACAAAACAAAATGATTGAATTTACCGGACCGTAGACGTAATTTCAATATGGTCCTTTAAACCTTTCTCGGAGCAAAATGAATGAAAATATTGTCATTTCTCCATCTATAATTGTCTTGAAGTTTTATATTTTTTCTCCTGCTGCACAAATGAGGAAGTCATTGCAATTAAAGATTAATTTGAGATAGAAATCCTCATTTACCAGACAGAAATCTAAGGAGTAAATCGGACCAGGTTTACAGTAAGTAAAACTACGCAGAATGCAAATGCGTAATAATTTTTTTTATCACAGTGGTTGATGTTGTAAACCTTGTTTTTATCACAGTGGTTGATGTTGTAAACCTTGTTTTTGTGCACAGTGGTTGATGAAACCTCGTTTTTACTTCACTTTATCTTTTTTCTAAAGGAAACCTTCAAAGCTGACAAAAAACTCGGTTATAAAATCAAAAATGCATTTTATAAAAGTTTTTAAAGATTTTCTCATTTTTTCTTGTTAAATTGAGAATTAGATGAAAAAGAAACCTTTTACTGAATTTTTTACAATTTACATTATTCCTTAGATGGGAGAGGGGGGGTTAATCTGGTTGAATGAGTACGTTTATTGTTGTACAAAGTACATCTATATTGTTATTGGACCAAGTACAACTGATTTAATCCTAAACTATTGTTGTACTAAGTATAATGTACATCTATAGACTTAATCCTTAACTATTGCTGTGCTGAAAGTACATCTATAATCCTAAAATATTGCTGTGCTGAAAGTACATCTATACACTTAATCCTAAACTATTGTTGTACTAAAAGTACATCTATACACTTACTCCTAAACTATTGCTGTACTAAAAGTACATCTATAGACTTAATCCTAAACTATTTTTGTATTAAGTACATCTAGTCTTAAATCAAATGATTTAATAGTCTAGCTAATAAAAAGTTAAAAGTGTGTTATATTTTCTCTAAAATATTCCCAAATGAAAAATGGCCATTTGTGCAATTTAAACCCATCTGGAGAATTCTTACAAAATTGTTTGAATAAATAATAATTCTAAAATTAAAAAAAAACTTTGTTAGACATTGAAGCAAAATAATCTGTCAGTTTGATCCCCGTCATGTCAAGAACCGTGAATTATCTTTATTTGCCAAAAATTAAGATTCCTGCAAAAATTGTGGAGTAGTACTGAGAAGGCATCAACTTTTTTGCGCCAATTTGTTTAAGTTTCAACATTGTTAAAGAATGCTAGCCGACGTACTCTTTTTTGATTGAACTTTGAACAAAACCTAGCTGTTTGAAGGGGCCAGAATTCTTTAGTATTTGCACCTACCCTGGTAAGATCATGCAATTAGCCTTGGCTTCAGAAAAATACAGTTTTTTACTTCAAATCTTTCTCTACAATAAGTGCAAACTGATTTTTTGATGTTTATTCAATCATTCATGTTTTCAGATTAAAGTTGTATCACATCCGTTCAAAACTTCATTTATACCAAGGATCTTTACAATATACAAACACTACTCACATTAAATGTTATTTTTAAGCATAAGCGACATAAATTTTAAAACTCTAGTGTTTAACACATAAGTTTGTTCTGTTTATTCATGGTTGTTTTAAAAACAACGATGAAACCCGTATACATCCAATACATCTTTTTGTTCCCGCGCTGCGGTTCAGTTTATTTGCCAATGGTTTCAAAAAATCGCAGGAAAACGATTCCGTGATTCTAAATTTGCAAAGAAGTCTGTTTCAAAATCCGGATTCTGCATTCGCACCCGGACACGGCATCGGATAGTACTGTTGTACATGTTTTTTTTTTATTCTGTTAAATACAAAAAAAGAAACCTGCTTTATTTGTTTGTATAGAATCCTGAAACCGGTTCTAATGACGGCACGCAAACCTGTATTAATTACAGCACAGAAACTGGTTATAAAAACAACGCACAAACTGGTTTTAATTACAGCGCGTAAACCGGTTCTAATTGCAGCGCGCAAACATCAAGATTAACTCAAAGACTAGAGAATTCTTACGTTTGTTTTGTAACAATATTCTTTCTCCTTAGAAAATACATTTTTAAATTTTACATAAATAATTTATAAATAAGTTTCTTTGTGTATGTACATAAACTGGTCTTCGTCATACAAATGTATTGTACACGATGTACACTGTACATATGAACTGGTTTGGCGGGAACTCTACAGTACACAGTACAGCAAGTTGTCTACAACAGGAAAAAAGTACCTTATACTCTAAAAAAGCTCTATTTTAGGCAAAAGCTGTATCAAAAGTTTAAATCTGTTTAAAAAGTTAAAAATTGTCGGGATTTTAGTGAAGAATTTCTCATTGAACTCGTTTATGATGCAGGGCCTAGGTGGGGGGTTAAAAATTTGAGGCGGATAAAAGTCGGAATAATGGGATTCCATTTCTGGCGTTTAACGGTATTTTGAAATCATCCTTCTGATTCCTTTTTTAACTAGTAATTTGATCTTATCAGATTTGTAGTAGTACAGTCTCCTACCCGACCTTTGGTTAGGACAGTTCACTTTTCCTACCAGATCTCTTGATAGAACAGTTCTCTTGTCCTACCAGTTCTCTGGTTAAAACAGTTCTCTGGTCCTACCAGATCTTCTGGTAGAACAGTTCTCTGGCTAGAACAGTTCTCTTGTCCTCCCAGATCTCTTCTTAGATCAGTTCTCTGGTTAGAAAAGTTCTCTTGTCTAATACCAAATATCTTGTTAGAATAGTTCTCTGGTTAGAACAGTTTTCTGGTTAGAAAAGTTCTCTGGTCCTACCAGATCTCTTGTTAGAACAGTTCTCTGGTTGAAGCAGAATTCTCTGGTTAGAGCAGATCTCTGGTTAACCAGTTCTCTGGTTAGAACAGACCTCTGGGTTCACTAGATTTCTGGTTATAGGACAGTTTTTGTTTATCCTACCAGATACATTGTCCTATGGACCCACCAGATAACTGGTCTCACCAGATCCTACAAACATCTCTAGTTCACGAGAAAAATTGTCTCACCAGATCTCAAATTTTACCACTTCTCTGGTCTCATCAGATCTAGGTCTAATCAATTCTCTAACCACCGCCCATTTAAATCTGTTTTCGGGACAAAGGAATTGAGTTTTTGCCACAACCTCAAATTTTCTAATTTCTATATCTCTGCAACCAGTGGGTGTAAACCTTTGATATTTCAAACTTAGATTATTTGACCTAACAGAATTAATAGTTTGAAATATCTAAGGTCTACGACATTGGGTTGCCAAGATATAGGGACAAGAAAATTTGAGTTTGTGGCAAAAACTCAGTTCCTTTCCTTGATTATAAAAATATAAACTTGTAAAACTAACAATTAACAATCTCATGAAGCCTGCAGAGGATTATTGCTATAGGTCGGAACATGAAGAACACACTTGGGGTAAGGAAGGATGGCACATTGAAAGTTTTGACTCTAGCAAAGACTATATTTTGCACTGGGTTTTACGTTCTTAGCAGGGGTTAGCTCTAAAACTGTTTACGTTTCAATCATAAAAGGAGTTTCAGGGGAATCAACCCTCTGTTAGTCAACCGGGAGTGTTACCCCGGGAGAAGGGGGGCTGGGTGTCGGAGAATTTGAGTTATCTCCGTTCGAACCCAACTTACGCGTGGTGTAGGTGAGAGAGACGGGTATCGGAGATTTTGCGTGCAATCCCTGGTTGGGACGAGATCGGATTGAGAGTTCTTCTCTGAGAGCCGTTAGTTCTGCTTCCATTTTAATCATCCTTTCCTTTAGATTCTCTGGTTCCTAAACATTATCAAATATCATATATCGGGATACAGCAGAGATAGGATATTGATTGTTTTAATTAATTATTTAAAGACTAAAATTAAAATTCAAAGAATTGTCGATATTTGAGTTATTAATGTTGCGTACCTTGCTAGGTTGGTTGATGATGTCACTATCTCTGTCCTCGGAGCCCGCCGAGACCGAGCTGGAGTGCGGAGAAGAGATTTCTTCCAGAATTTTGGCGGGAGATTTCAACTCAATCTTCGGTAATCCAGATTTAGAATAGCTGTCCGCCTTGCTGGCACTGCTCTCACTAGATCTTTCACTCCTTGCGTCACAATCCTCGTCCTTGCTCTCCAGAATAGGTTTAGAGTTCCTGGATTCTTCATCTCTCTCCGGTTTACAATCAACCTGTCGGAGTAGTTCTCTCAGCTCTCCTCGCTTCTTTGCTAGTTCATCTTCCAGGGTTTCATATTTAATGTTGAGTTCTCTGAATCTAGTGACCGCTAGATCACGGTCCCGCTCTGCTCGGTCAACCCTGGCGGTCAACCGCTCCAAAATTTTCAGAACTGCCTCCTTGGCGTGGACCGGAGCTCCGTCCAGTGCTTCCTTAATGGTAGAGATCTCGTCTGCCAAGGTTGGAAACCGTTCGTTTTCTAAAATAAAATATTGAAAATTCAAGGCCATGGTTTGGATGACATTTTAACTCATTAATACTTTCTCAACCGACGTTAAATTAATTTTAGCATTTGAAAACTTGGAAAATATGGAGCATGCAATGTTTAGGGAGGGGGGAGGAGAAGGCAACGGGGAGTGAGGACGAGGATTTAAACAAAAACTTGAAATTCCAGAACTTTCCACATTTGTCAAAGTTAATGAACTTTTTTTCTTCCGAATTGTAAGTAGGCTCTGTACTTATAGACCTCATAAACCCATTTATTAGCATACCCGGAACCCTTTAACTGAGCCTATGTATAACAGGGCAGTTTAATTTAGAACCTAAATTCCATTATATTAAGCACCAAGTTCATTACAATATACCTGATGTAAAGAAAAATAATTAATTGTTAATAACCTCTTCAGCTTTAACAGGTTTTATAACTATAATTAGGACAAAAAATTATTAAACTCCAGATGAGTGAGCAAGGTCAGGAATAGGAGAAAGGGGATAAGGGGTCTTTGTGAATTTCTCTGGGTTATACAGAATATAGATCCTTTCTATTCTCTGGGGAGAGAAGTTAGTACTGTGGATGCATGTATGCGTAGCCAGGGGATATTATTTAATTATGCAGGGGAGGGGGGGGGGGTATATTGGATCTAGAACTTTAAACAAGGATTAATTCTAACCTTTCTCCAGATATTTCTTCTTTGGTAGAACGGATTGAGGACTCAGGTTTTTATACCTCTCTCCGGGGTTTGGAGTTTGATAGGAAGCAAACTTCGGTGGTTCGGGAATTTTCTCCTTTGAAACTGATCTATAGTGTTGTGGAGGGAACGGATAGGGTGGAGCTGAACCCTTCCCTGGGGACCAAGGTCGGAAGGAAGGAAGTCCCAGGTATGTGTTCAGGGTGTAGGGATCTCCAGGGTTGGGAGCTGGACTCTCCTCTAGCTTTGTTCTCTTGGAATGTGAAAATATCTCCGGTATCTCATAATGATCCTCCTCCTAAAACAAAACATGGATTTAAACCTCGTGGTTTCAGGCTAGGATGGTTTGCGTTCTCAAGGACGGACGGGTTGGCTCCGGTATATCCGATGCTCCGGCTGAGTCTCTGTTACCAAGAGGAATCCGTCCTCCCGAGAGTGAATGCAGCTGGAAAATGCATCCGCCCTCAGGAATACCATTTCTATTTGGTGAGACTTCTGCCCCCTTTCCTTTCCCACAACCTTCTCTTTACCCCTCATCTCTTCCCCTTCCTTCCTTCCCCCATCTCTCTTTCCCTTCTTTCTTTTCTTTCCCACAACCTTCTCTGTACCCCTACTCTCTTCTCCTTCCTTCCTTCCCCATCCCCTGCTTTCTTTCCCTTCTTACTTTCCTTTCCCACAACCTTCTCTTTACCCCTCCTCTCTTCCCCTCCCTTCCTTCCCCCTGCTCTCTTTCCTTTCTTTCTTTCCTTTCCCACAACCTTCTCTTTACTCCTCCTCTCTTCCCCCTGCTCTCTTTCCTTTCTTTCTTTCCTTTCCCACAACCTTATCATTACCCCTGCTCTCTTCCCCTTCTTTTCTTATCCTATCCTTTTAGTTTCTTCTTCTTCTTTCTCCTCCCATCTCCTTCTTTTCTTCCCACGATCTTCCTTCTTCTTCCTTCTTTCACTTATCTTACTTTTCCCTCCCTTTTAATTCCTTTCTTTCTTTTTCCCTGCCTCCTTTCTCCTTCATTCCATACCCTTCCAGTCTCCTTCCTTCTTTCCTCTTTCTAACTACCTTTCCATTTCCTTTCTCCTTCCCTAATTCTCCGTTCTTCTTCCTTTTAGTTCTTCTACCCTATGTATTTATAATCATTTTATATTAAGATATATATATATAAATATAAAATATATTTAAATATATAAAAATTAAAACCATGCGTTGAAATTTTCTTTTCTTATATATATATATATATATATAACACATAAATATGTTTATATATAAATATAGAGTTGGCTGAGTGGTTTGATATTAACTCTAAATACAGTGCATATATATAATTAGACCAATATGCTACCAATATAACCTTAATTATTATTAATATAAATGCACCAGGTCGGCTCGACAGTAACACACAGTTTAGTAAGTACTCTCTCTTAAACCTTCTACCTCTACTAACTGGATAATCTGGAAGTAGATTATATGAACAAATTATTCAGTTTTCTTTTTGTTTGTGAGTGTTTCATTAATCATGATTTCAACTGCGTAGATAAAAAGATTATTTTGACAGATGAAAAATTATCTAATTTATTTGAGAAGAAAGAACTAACATTTCAAATTGGCTCTCTTGCTTATATAAACACTTAGGAATAATATTTCAAGGAGATGCAGTTTGAGTCTATCAATATGGGAGAAGAAAGGACGACCTTAATGTCTTTTTAGTCCAAAGGTCGTCTTGTCTGTTTTTTTTGTTGCGAGCCTAGAGTTCAAGAAAGCTTTTCTTCATTTCGGTTTTTAAACGTTAAATAGAAACATATCTCTTCCTTGTCACAACAATCTATTTCCGTCTCTTTCTTAAGATTTTTTTTCTTCTTCTGATATCAGTGGGTTTCACCTTAATTTAATATTTCTTCTTATCCTTCTTCAATCCATTTACGTTTATTTGCATTTTCGTTTGTCGTTTCAGAATCCTTTTATCCACTTTCCACTCTTAAAATTCGTCTTATTTTATCCATTCTTTGTCTTATTAATCCCTTTTTCGTCTTTCTTAGCCCTTATTCTTCCTACACATTCCTTATCAGTTCCAAAACTTATCTCACCCCTCTCTATTCTTCTAACCAACTCCGTCCATATATTTACTTTTCATGACAAATTCCAAGTATTCAAAAAAATTCTTATGATACTCCTTAGGAGAACAACACTTCCTTTCTCCCCCCTCCTCCTTGTCCTTGTAGATCCCCTGCCTGAAGCTTGCATGCAACGCGATGCAATTCTACGAAATTTCAGATAAAAAATTAAGATTCCAGTGTACACAGACCGAACCTCGTGTTACCGTCGCCATCTTTAAATTACAGTACAGGCCCCGAGCAGTGCTAAAGAGAATGTAGACGAAGTTTCAAGCGAACTGCCATTTGAAGAGTGGGATTCACATCTTTTTAAAGAATCTTTGTCTGATTAAAATTGACAGAGAGAAATCCAACGAAGTAAATTGGCAGAATTTAAACGGCGATTATTTCCTCATTGTTACTTAGTTAAAACTTTAAAGGGTAGTATTGCGAATGAGACATGCCAGTTTTTTTTAATAAAGAGTAACTTTAAATGATGTCTACAATCTCTTTAAGTTTAATTTCAGGACAGATAACTCATTAAATTCTTCCGTCCTAGTCTTAGATGTTTAATACTTAGGTTTGCATGCATTTCTCAGGGTGCACTTGGGATTACTAATCTAGGTATTGCATTTAATGAGAGGTTAAACATTTTACTACCAGGATACTAGGATAGGAGTTAAACCATGATAACCAGGTTCACAAGTTCCTGGAATCTATATATAGAAGGATACACTAGGCCAGGTATGGGGTATAGTAGAACACAAAGAAGAGAGATAAAGAAAATATGAAGGAAAGATCAAGGATAGACAACGAAGAGATGAAAAACAGATAAACTGTTGAAAAAATTTAACACTCCAAAATCCAAAACATCAGAAATTATAAAATGTTGGATATTTAAAATACGGTTAAACTAGTTTAAAAGGTTTTATGTTAGATTACTAAGGATAAATTTAGATCTTAAATAATTTTTTAGATTTACGTTTAAAAGGTTTTAAGTTTAAAGTTTTTCATCTTCTTTTCATGACTCTAAACTTACGATTTAACGACTCCCTCCCATACTAGAAAGATGGTGACTCCATTGTAAATATCATATAACTCCTCTCTCCTCTCTTCTCTGAACTACTCCTATAATGGGAGTAGACTGACTCCAGGCAGATATGCACTTATTGCATTCTATGTTCAGGTCTTTGTTGCAAACCCTGGAGGAACCTGATTCTCCTAATTATAACCAGGCCTATCCTAGGCATGCACCATAGTCTATATATCAGGGTAGAGAGCAAAGATTGACAAGATATTCAAGAATCAGAGGGTGCAGGGATAGGGGGTAGAAGGAGGAGGAGGAGGAGGGGTAGGGCAAGGGGAGGAGGGTTTGGAGGGGGAGGAGGAAAGTGAGGCTTTGAAAAGATAGATTAGGTTTGAGCAAGGCAAGGTTGAAATGTATCTCTTAAAACTTAAATTAGTTGGATTCTAGAATTGCATTTGAGGAGAACATTTATCCTTACAAACCTGAACCTGGCCTAGCCTTGAACATCAACTTTGTTTTCGTAGAACCCGACTCTAACCTGATCTTGGAACCGCAACCTGAACCTGAACCTGAACCTGAACCTGAACCTACACTGATCCTGATACTGAAATCTAAACCTATAACTTGATCTTGACAATAAACCTAGATTTGATCTTGATTTTAAACCTAGATTTGATCTTGATTTTAAACCTAGATTTGATCTTGACTATAAACCTAAATTTGATCTTGACTATAAACCTAGATTTAATCTTGACTATAAACCTAGAAATTGATCTTGACTATAAACCTTTAACTTGATCTTGACAATAAACCTAGATTTGATCTTGACAATAAACCTAGATTTGATCTTGATTTTAAACCTAGATTTGATCTTGACTATAAACCTAGATTTGATCTTGATTATGAACCTATTATAGTATTTTGATTATAACTAAACCTGAACCTGGAGCTTATTTTTTAAACTGGAACTTGGTTTTAGAAATAATAAAAATCTCTAGCAAACCAAAAAACCCTGTCATTAAACAGAAACCTTTACAACCTCTTACTTTTTAATTTTCTTCTATGCTGTATACCAAAAAACAACCGTTTTCCCCCTCCCCCCCTTCCCCCCCCCCTCTTTTCTTTCTTCCTCTTCTATTCACATACTCCCCCTCCTCCTCTCCCCATACATAACAATACAATTCCCCTAGAAGCTTGTCAATAGATATGGAATAATAATGGTCAGGGTCTGATGTGCCAGGATGCAGTTTTAGCTCTAGATCAATCTAGAAAATGTCTGAAGTTGGATGCATAAAAGTGAATACTGGAAAAGCACGCCATATTCTCTAAAATTCGTCTCACTTTACGATCAATTGTTCTCTTTGGTTATTGGTTGTTGGAATATATTCTATACAGCTGATTTACATTCTAAAATCCCTTTTAGGTTCACTGTTCTCCCCTTCCAGAACTGTCTAGTGTCTAGCTATCTCATTGAATAACTGTCTATTTATCTCCAGAACTGTCTAGTGTCTAGCTATCTCATTCAATAACTGTCTATTTATCTCCAGAGAACTGTCTAGTGTCTATCTATCCGATTTAATAAATTTTCAAAAACTTTTATCTATCTATCTATCTATCTATCTATCTATCTATCTATCTATCTATCTATCTATCTATCTATCTATCTATCTATCTATCTATCTATTTATCTATCTATCTATCTATCTATCTATCTATCTATTTATCTATCTATCTGTCTATCTATCTATTATCTATTTGAAAAACATCTTTCCTTCGCTAGCTAGTCCCTGGAAGACCTTATAAAACAGATTCTTGCAAATCCGCAAAATACATTTTTTTGCAAATACTCGTCGCCAATTTGGCACAAACTCTGAGATTTACCGAGAACTAGAGATTGTATTTTCCCCATTCTTGAGTTAATTTGAATTCGTCCTTCATTGAGAGAATAAAACCACATTGTGAAGAGAAAAAGTAACGGTAGGATGAAGATAAAGGAAGGTGGGTAGGATAAAGGAAGGTGGACAGGATAAAGGAAGGAGGATAGGATAAAGGAAGGAGGATAGGATAAAGGAAGGTGGATAGGATAAAGGAAGGTGGATAGGATAAAGGAAGGTGTATAGGATAAAGGAAGGAGGACAGGATAAAGGAAGGAGGATAGGATAAAGGAAGGTGGATAGGATAAAGGAAGGTGGATAGGATAAAGGAAGGAGGATAGGATAAAGGAAGGAGGATAGGATAAAGGAAGGAGGATAGGATAAAGGAAGGAGGATAGGATAAAGGAAGGTGGGTATGAAAAAGGAAGGAGGATAGGATGAAGGAAGGAGGATAGGATACAGGAAGTAGGATAGGATAAAGGAAGGGGGATAGGAGAAAGGAAGGGGGATAGGAGAAAGGAAGGGGGATAGGAGGAAGGAAGGGGGATAGGAAAGAGTGTAAAGAAAAGGTTAAAGAGAAGAGTGTAAAGAAAAGGTTGAAGGGAAGAGTCTGAAGAAAAGGTTACAGGGAAAAGTGTAAAGAAAAGGTTAAAGGGAAGAGTCTAAAGAAAAGGTTAAAGAGAAGAGTGTGAAGAAAAGGTTAAAGGGAAGAGTGAAAAGGAAAGGTTGAAGGGAAGAGTGTAAAGAAAATGTTAAAGGGAACAGTGTAAAGAAAAGGTTGAAGGGAAGAGTGTAAAGAAAAGGTTTAAGGGAAGAGTGTAAAGAAAAGATTAAAGGGAAGAGTGTAAAGAAAAGGTTAAAGAGAAGAGTCTAAAGAAAATGTTAAAGGGAAGAGTGTAAAGAAAAGGTTGAAGGGAAGAGTGTAAAGAAAAGGTTTAAGGAAAGAGTGTAAAGAAAAGATTAAAGGGAAGAGTGTAAAGAAAAGGTTGAAGAGAAGAGTGTAAAGAAAAGGTTAAAGGGAAGAGTGTAAAGTTGGACGGAGGACAAGGGTTGCTAGAGAAGAGGACCTGCTGGGGTGACGGAGGGATTAAGGAAGGGGAGGAGGGAGGTGGGTGTGGGAGGGGTTAGGAGGGGGTAAGGGAAGGGAACTAGGGGAGGGAAAGGAGGGGTGTTGTTGATTCCTCCCCTCAGACAGACTCAGTTTCCGAGGATCAATACTGGCCTAGATTCTCCCCCTTATCCCCTTTCTGTCTCATTCACTTTCATTCCCTTCAACTTCGTAGTAGAGGATAAATAGGAGACTCTAGGTTTTTACGCCATCAGGTTGCACAGAGATAGGGATTAGAAATTCAGAGTTTGTGGCCAAGACTCAATTCCTTTATGTAATTTCGCGCTTCAAAGTGTTTTAAAATAATTTTTGTATGTTGTAACTTTTCATATTTGATTTTCAACTTTGTTTTTCAGGTTTAATAATAGTTATTTTAGATTGACTGATCAAATATTCAAAAATGCATTTGCTTACAGCACGCTATTAGAAGAAAGTACATCAGAGTTGAGAACTTTTGAATGATCGAAACTAATCTAAATCGATTTGAACTCATTCTTTTCTCTCCAAACCTTTTAGTAAACTTCAATGCATTTAAAAGATCTCAGCTCAAGGCATTTTAAACAATGCACTTTTTCAATATCTAACTGAATATTAAACCACATACTTGTGCAATCTGCATTCCTAAAAATGTGGCAACAACGTATTTTAATATTTTTCAATACCGAATTCCTAGAATAATTCTCAAGATCATAGTTGTAGACAAGTTTTGCAGACTTTATGTCCTTGGGTAATGCATTTCTGCACGTGAACTGACTGCACCCAGCGGCAAGTGCAAGGAGGGGGGGGGGAGTTACGTTGGAGAGAAGGAAGGAGAAAGAAGTGTTGAGGGAAGGAAGGTAGAGAGAAGGGTTACTAGGGAGTGTTCAGTGTCCAGGAGGAGGAGTGGGTTGGGGGTTGGAAGGAGAGAAGGGAGGAGAAAGAAGTGTTAAGGGAAGGAAGATAGAGAGAAGGGTTACTGGGGAGTGTTCAGTTTCCAGGAGGAGGAGAGGGTTGGGGGTTGGAAGGGGAGGATGGATAGAAGTAATGTCGATGGGGCGTGATATTCAGTTTATTTAACATAAAAACCTTTTGAATTTGATTAATAAAATAAATTTAGTTGATTATGTATTGAGTAGATGAATATTTTGGATGTATGTATTGTATACGATGGAGCAGATGTGTCATTTTCTCATGACAAAAAAGGGAATCTTATTAAATGAATTTTTATATTCTTATTTTGAGACAAAGTTAAAAAAACATTGAATTGCATCTGCTTCTTATTAGTTCAATAAAAAATGTTTTGTCTTTTTGTCCGAAGTTGGTTAATTTGTCCTATTTGTCTAGAACAGGAAAGGGGCCCCGACATTATTAGAATCCTAGGCTCCAAAGATACTTATTATTCCACAAAGTTTTGCAAAAAAAAGTGGCCGCGCCATCAAGAAAAAAGTGTCTACACATTACTCCCTGCTCAATACTTTTTGCAAATACAAGCTTAGATATCTTGATTCTCTAGTTTAATGCTGTTAACTCCCCCCTCCAGCCCCTACCCCTCTCCCCCATCATTCCCCACCCCCCTGAAAACCAAGGTAGGGGAAAACCTAAAGAGCCTGGGGAAATAAGAGAGAACCTGAATTGAAACCGAACTCCTGAACGGAGAAATGTTAAAAGCAATTTTTTGTTAAAAAGGACAAAATAAAATTCTGCAGAAATTGTAGACAAAATGAAAAAGAAATAAAAAATATAAAAGTTTAAATAAAACTTTTCATTGGATAGACTAAAAAAAATAAAACGCAATTTAAAAATTTGGGTCACACGAATTCTATTTTATTTAAATGTTTTGTATTCGCCATTTTTTGAAATATGTCTGATACTGATAACCGTTTTCTACTATTCTCCCCTAAACTTTTCACTTGTATAACCTATATTCACCTGTATCAACTTATTTAATTAATTTTTATCTTTATTTTATGGCTCAGTAATAGTTTGCATATTTTAAACTATCATAAAGTTCATCCTTCGCTTAATAATATTATTCCTAAGTAACAATTTGCCTTTAATAAAATGTTGCCCCGTATTTTTCAAACAATATGAAAACATTTAGCTATACAGGCTACAGCATACGTGGGTAGAAATAGAGATTAAAATTATGATTTTTCATTCGTCTACTATTTAAGGTTAAATTATGTTAGTTTTGTGTGGCGCCACAAAAGCGTTTCGGCAAAAATAGGCTGCATTTGAAATGTGATAATCTGCCTTCAAATTAAGGCCAAAAATATACACAGCCCTGTTACGCAGGCAAAATATTTTGAACTAGGTTTTTATGGCGCTTCGTGCCTACTTCCCTGTTAACAATTTTAGCTTTAAACTGCTGCTCTGAAATTTGCTATTGTTAATCGCTCTCAAATTTTCGCGGATTTTCAGAATAGTAAATTTTTCATCTTTGACCATAAACCTTCCCTGGGGTAATGTGAGTAGTTTATTGGATAAAGACAAATAAACAGACAAACCAACTATAGATATGGATTAAGTAATATGTTAATTATCCCTCGAAATACAAAAACTACATCTTTCTAACTTTGATTTCTTCTATGAGATTATTTGGTTCTCTGAGACCTCGAAAGTTCGTAAAGATTTCTTTTATCAAGATTCGGGATACTTTATCTACCATGTATCTACCATGTATCGCTAACTCGATAGGTATTATGGTTTTTGCACTGTATCAAGTAGCTGGCCCGAGAATAAAGAGATAAAAAACTTACTTTGAGCATTAAATGCATTTGAGAAGGTTAGGTTCAATTACTTTTATCCGGGTACAATACAGTATACACTACAGGGATAACTTACATAATTCAAACTATTTACCTGTTGTCGTTTGATCCCGTTGCTTGGTAGGTATCGGAGCTTAAAATCATCCAGAACCTTGACATGACGCTCCTTCTCCTCCTCCGAGTAGGAATCGGAGAGACGGAGATAGACTCTCCAATGGTCGGAGCTGAACCCCCAATGGCAAGTTCTATTCTCCGTGTTATCATGAGCATGGATCACAAACTTTTGGGGAGAAAACAATCCCTGGCATATTAAACACTCAATACACCTGGCAGTAGGGCCTGTATATGCTTCAGGTAAAACAATACCTTCACATCTACCAAAACAATCATGTTCAACCTTGAAGGAGAACGGAGAGGTTTTAGGATCTCCGAGTCGTATGGAAGCTCTGGGAGGGTTTCGCTCAAGGAGAAAGCTGCAAAGACGTTCTGCATCAGATTTAGTAATAAGTCCACACTGGTATGCGGTCTCAGGAAGAACCTTAGAATCCTTGAGAACTTGAAGCTGGTCAGGTGAGCAGGTGGCGCAGTATATCTGCAGTTCTTCACAGGCCTGGTTTATATCTTTCAAACTTAATCTCTCCAGGACACTGTTTAAAATCTGGGGCAGACAGAGACGTGGTTCTCCGCCAACATTAAAGCAAGATATCCTCTCTCCGTCCACTAGAGTTTCTTCTAGCTCCGACCAACTTTTATCACTAGAGGACATTATAGGTACACAGGAGACAGGTGGGAGGGAAGGAGGTTTAAATGCAGATTTCACATGTTGTTTATTATCCTTCATTAACTCATCCTTAACTCTCTTCTCCTGTCTCAGCTTCTCCGCTTCCTTCTGACTCTCTCTAAGGAGACGAATCTTTTCTCCTGAAAGATGGGTTGTACGTTCATGTGACGGAGGAGCAGGGCGATACTGTCTATCTCGGAGCTTCTCCTTCTCCGACAGGATCTGTTGCTCCTGGAATTGCCTCATGAACTTCTCGCGGTGGAGCCAGATCTGCTTGTTGAGATCAAAGTTCTGTCCGTTGTATCCAACATCTCGTCGGTAGGATCCAGGACTGGTTGGATCAACAGGACCACCGACACGATGGAGAACTACATCACTAGCTAACTTGTACTTCCCTGTCCCTATCTGTTCTTCAAGTCTAGATGGTCCTGTCAACGTATGCGCGTTTCTTACATAAGCAGCTAGAACCTGCCTCATCTGTGCAGATGACTGAACCGTGTGCGCCTGTAAAGCAGCTCCAACACCTCCTCCTGGATCAGACATGTTTAACTTTAGTCTAGACTCACAAATTAATAAAAATCATAATTGTTTACACACTTGCTGATAAGACCCGGAGTCCTTACGACATCCAGGTTTAGGTTCGCATACTGTAGGTTCTCCAGGTCTGTCTAAATACCGCAGCGTGTCTGAATCCACTAGTAGAGACAACACTCAACTGGCGGGGTACAACATTCCCTGTCTGAGTGCAGCAGCCCAGTCTGACGGGCCGGGTAGACACTGCAGCCTGGGTTCAGACTCTCCGATCCAGTCTCTCCTACCAGACTCCCTGCATTACACTTTTATTACTATACTCCGAACCTGTACCACACATACACACACATCACGGGACGGAGAGGGGGTGGGGGAACCATAGATCCGATACTTGTATCCAACCTGCATTCCATAATCCGTGAATACTGAATAAAGACGGATAATTGGTGAAATGACGTGGTTGGGACGGAGGCATGTATCCGGGTAGTATATACTACTGACGGAGTGCTGGTGCATAGAAAGATATGTATATGCATACGTAACCAGACACTTTTACACCAGATATCAATCAATTAATCAATCCTCGTAACACAACGTCATCATCAAGAGAAAGCTCCTGCTAATCGAATCTGGATATTTACATAAACAATGCTTTTTTCCATCCATGCAACCCAACCCTCTATACATAGATTTCCTTTTACTAAAGTCTTGAAATAGATTAGAATAGAATAATTCTTATTTATTTGTTTTATAATAAAGAAGGTCGTTTAATGTGTAATGTCTAGCTTTATTAGTTGCATCTGTCGAATGCATTTATATGAACAGTAAACTGCAACATTAATGCAATAAGTAGAGATAATTTACAATATATATATTGTAGTTATGCAAGTCTTGTATCTTTTATATGATAACATACTAAATTTACAATATACATTGTATTTATACGACAGCATATAAATGTATCTTGTATATGATAACATACTAAATATACAATATACATTGTATTTATACGACAGCATATAAATGTATCTTGTATATAATAACTTACGAAATATACAAATACATTGTATTTATACGAAACTATATTATAACTCATGGAATATACAATTTACAATATACAATACATTGTAATTATTTGAAATCACATAATTGTACCTTGTACAAGGTTACTTACAAAGGATAAGACTTCAAAGAAATGGTAAGCTAGTTTTTTCTTTGCCAAATCATTAGCTATAAGCCATTAAATTACTTTAACTAAGACAGATTACTAAATTTAACCGTGGGATCGTCATATTTAAGAGTTTCCGGTCGTCTTTACAGTCTCATCCTTTGTGAGAGACCCTGTAAATGACAATGTACATTGCATTTATATGAAACCAAAGACTTGTATACTGTTGTATAATAACTTACTGATAACTTACATTCAAGTAATATACAATATATATTTTATCTTTACGAAACTATATATATGTACATTGTACATGTCTATTTTTTTATATAAAATTATAATTATAAATCTCCAGATATGCAATATATAAAGGAACTGACCACTTGCCTCAAACTCCATTTTTACGATCCTTATATATTTGCAACCTTATTGATGTTTCAACAAAATTCCTAGTTTGAATTATCAAAGGTCTCCGAGATTATGAAATTAATTTAAGGGCAAGGAATCCTTGGCAGTTCTATGTATAAAAAGTGGGAAAAGTATTAAGTAAAATTGAAATATTCTTTATTACATAAATTTACCTAATTTCTGCACTTAATCATCCAGAAGAATTTATAATTAAACATATTTAAATAACTCTAGAATAACTAGAATTACTTCAAGTGCTGTCCTAGTTCTTACAACTGCACTTTTTTTTACTTTAAATTAAAAATTTATTAATATTGCACTACTTAAAAAGTTTACTTAAGAGAAACACTTTTTGGGAAAATTTGACCTAAATTCTGGGAAGATATTCTTAGACCTAGCTCTGCAACTGAAGAAAACAATAGATAATATATATTAACCTGCCAAATTAAACTTAAATCAAATTACAAACTTAAATGTACTTTTAACGAATAGATAAAAAAAGGTGATTAATGTTGGTGAAAATTTCAAACTTAAAAAAAATTGCTGATTTCATATCAGCAGTTTTTTTCATCATAAAAAATGACGTAGTTAATAGAATAGGTAAAAAATATATATTTTTGTTTGAAATGTCACTTATTTATACGACATATTTCATGTTTATTGTGGTTAGGAGTGAAGGGTTTTATTTTTAAAACCTGCCATGACACCAGAATTATGTAAGAGCTGAAACGTTTTATTAAACCTGATCCAATATTTAAACTGAAGTTACGTCAGGGAAACATTAAATTATATTTTATATTTCATGTTACAGATGATTACATAATTTCTGTAATAAAAAAAGAATATTTATCTTTGTCTATGTTTATTTATAACTTCGCGTACTTTTTGTTAAACCTTGTTTCTTCGCAATAATATGATTCTTTTATGATACTTTTGTAGTTTTTGCAAACATTTCTCTATTGTAAACAAAAATATTATTAAAGGGACTGTCCTTGTAATTTCAAGTGACCTTCCATTAAAAGAGGGGCATGGTATATTCACAACTTTACCCTTTTAACCTTTATCTGATATTGTCATTTTTCCGCTTGGTAAGTGTTTAATTCTCACATTTTCCTCCATTATATCTGAAGCAGAAATCCGCAAGTCACTCTTTAGAGAAACTACAATTTCTATTCTCCCCCTGCAACCTTACACCAGAAGCTAGCTGCACAGTAAGTATATACCCAGATACTTGATATTGATGATTTAAATATTTAAGTCCTGCATAGTCTGCAACTCTGATCAACTTGGAAAACTACTTTATTACTCAATCATGGAAAAGGAATTCTGATTTTTTATCTTGAATAATTTTGATATCCTTGCATGCTACTTATCGGTAGAACTGGCTCACGCCGGTCACCACGAGATGACCGAAATTCTTGACAAATTAAGAGTTAGGGCATTTTCCCAGGAATGAATAATTTAGTAACTTCAATTGTGACTAAATTATTATAGGAGCATAAGAAAGTTATTTTTTCTTATAAGTAAAAATAAAATAAAATAAAATTAGCTAAATTATATTTCAAGAATCAAGTCTTTTATTATTTGAAATATTTGCTGTCTATGCTTCACTGAGCTGTCTCTTTGAAAAAACCCTAAAAACGCTCCGGGAGAAAAATATTTGCAAGTTTGCAATTTTTGCTGTACCGGCTCGACTGGCGGAACGTACTTGCAAAAATCAGCTGCAACTAGGAATCCGCCAACACACTCGAAAGTACAAATTTTACTTGTATACAGGGCGTCAAAATAAACTAAAATTAAATAAGATTTGACACGTAAAAAGAAATTTTTTTATTTTCGTTTAATAGATAAAAGTAGTAATGCAAAAATGTATATAATTTTTTATATGTATTTTTTCCGGCGTTCCATAAAGTGTACACAATTAACGTGCGGATAAAAAAACCTTATCAGAAGATTTATTGATAAAAATACGTATCATGTCCTTTTAAAATCATTATCAGTTTCTTAGATAATCAAGCATTACCCAACAGTATTTGATCAAGTTTTTTTTTCAATAGTTCAAGGTCTAATATGAAAGTTAGATAACTCCTTACCAGTTTCATAATTATCTAACATTTAATATAAGATTCAAGTATTGGGTTTCCAAAAAATAAAAGTGAAGCAGAATCGTTGATTATTTTTAATTAAAAACTAAAACTATAAAGTATTGATTTTGCTACGGTTTTGCAAGCTTAAACATCCGAGCTTGGAACTTTTGAAAATCTAATTAATCCCTTTAAAATGCAAGACAAAGGGTAAAACGACGTAGGGTCAAAAAGTGCGACTAACAGGCAAAATTTCATCTAGACTATTTTTGGTGAGCTTGAACTATTTTTATGTTCATTAGAACTATAAGTAGCCGCAGCGCTCGGCCCCTTAGCCTGTCCTAGACGCAGCGCTCGGTCCAAAAATTGTCTTAACATAACCTAACCCTAAAAATACATAAAATATTTTTTTTTCCATTTTGACCCTTTGTCGCGTTTTTGACCGTCTGTCGTTTGACTCTATGTTGTTTGACCCTAGGTCGTTTGAGCCCATGTCGTTTGACCTTGGGCCGTTTGACCCTGGGGGGTCGGTGAACCGAAAATTTAAGTCAATACCTTTGGAATATAACTAAAAGTACGAAAGATCAACAGCCAAAAAGGCCTAAAATAAAAATACAATTTAACGGATTAAGGCCAAGGGTTAAATCGTTTCAAAAAGTTTCGATGTAAATATGAAGATATTTTCTTGTAATGGAATTCCGGCCATACCCATAGTTTCATAAAGAAACTGAGTTTTTACCGCAAACTCTGATTTTCTAGTCGCTATATATTTAAAACAAAATAAAGTAGACCTTGGATTTGCAAACTATGAATCCTGTTAAGTCAAATAGTCCAAGTTTGAAATAGCAAAGTGTACACCTTTAGGTAGCAAAGATTTAGGGATTATAAAATTTGAGTTTGATGGGAAAAACTCAGTTTCTATTTCTCCCCTGATTGGACTGTCAGGCCCCTGTCTATGTCTCTTAATGCATTAAATGTCATAAATGCGGTTTCCAGCTTTGATTCCTTTCTTGGAAATATCATAATGTTTAAATATTCCAATTCAACCTTTTCTTGCTTTTTTAGTTGAAAATATGAAAATTTCTGCACCATACTTTACTTTCACTTAATGTACTCCCTGCAATATGAGAATTGCAATATTGTGTGAATAGTATTTTATCAACTTGATATGAACTAAATAATGGAAAAATACTGAATTCTCTTCAAAACATCCGAGAAAGTTTGACCCTTCGAACACTCTGATTAATGATTTTCAAAATTTGTTAGTTGTATCCACATCTAAATAAAGTAGTAATCTTACTAATTACCAGCTTAATTCTACACATTTACCCAACCCCAACATCACACTCAAAGCTCAGAATCGTCTGTATACGATGTAGAGAAAGAAACACTTGAGATGGTTTAGTGGGCTCTCTTAAGCCCTGAATAAAGATGTTCGTGGCTGACTCAGACAGACCCTTACCCCGAGCGAACTCAAGGGTGAGAGACCAGTTAAAGACAGACTGTCTGTTTGTTTGATCATAACTCATAAACCCCTTTTGAGCGATTTACCTCAAATCGTGATCAGGGAACTCGAAGAATTAAGGGATTCTAAGCGAAGGTTTTCAAAGAATGGTAATTTTTAAACCTTCCTTGTAAATATTTAAGAATTTTAAATATTGATTCAAGCATTTGCAGTTTTAGCTGCCATTGCCTGACTCAAGGCTTCAATATTAGACTTAAATCAAATAAATCTAAAAATTCTTTTTTTTAAATATTCGTTTTTTTAAACAAATAATGACAAGCTTTTTTATTGTTGTTGTCTTTATTTTATTTGTTTAAAAACAATGTTCAGAAGGCACATTTAAAATGAAAGGTGGTTCAGGCTGAACCCTAATTTGGAATCGAATCGGTAACAATCTTATTTTCAACTTATATTGGAGCTATGAGAAAAGTCAGTGAAATGCCTGGTTTGGTATATCATAGTTAATAATATTAATGTACTTTGGATGACAATAATACGGCCACTAGATGTCTCCCGTTAGAATTTAGAGTCGCGAGCAAATATGGGATTTTACTAAATTTTCCGCTGCAAGAGACGAATGTTTAATTTTACAATTTTCTCATTACTCCAAAATCAAAAGAAGAAAATTTATGTGATACCGTTCGATTCCAAAACTCAATTCAGGGATTCAACCTATACCAAGGATGTAAGGCAAGGAAGGTCATTTCAGAAGTGTACACATCATTACTGCAGTGTACTGTCTCTGGGCGCTAATTTAAACACAAGACGGATATGTCGAAGCCTGACATGGGATCCATCATTCACATAAAAAATCAATGAAATATTCTGGCCATAAGAAATTATTATGTGAATTATCAAAATTATCAAAATTTAATGCTTTTAACCTCCTCGGATACTAAACGAACACTGATGCATCTATCATTGTTTAAAAATTCCGCCCAGAGAGAACTGGTTTCAATATGTACACAAGTATACACAACCGCAATTTGCTTTCCTTGCCTTACATTCTTGACCTATACCATCTTTCATTTTTCGCGAACACTCCCTTTAACAGATGATACAGGGAGAGGGGGGAATAATGGAATTAATGCGCGCCGAGAACTTTTTCATTTTAATGTCAAAACCATGACCAGCTGGGGCCCCAGTGAAAGGGGAAAATGTGTTAGCAAGATTTAAATTTTCAATACAAATTTTTTTCCAGGTTAGAGGTTAAACCTAGTTTTATTTTTTTTGCAATTAATTATAAATAACAACTGTTTTTTTTACAAACTCGGATTATTAATATTTCTATTGTAAAGTAAATATAACTTTACGTAAAAATAGCGTGATATCATTAAGTGCACATTCGGCTGTATTTTAAATAAAATGTTATTGGGAATCTACTTTACTTTAGCTGGCATAGATTTTAAAAAAAGTTTTTAGTCTACAGTTGGGCCCATAAAGTGTGAAATAGAAAGACGACATTTAACAACATTCTATGTACTTAATCATGTAAGTCAACTTATTGAACATGTGTCTCTTGATAACGGTTTTACACCTTTTGTAGTATTTAATTTTGTTGTTGTTGCTAACATCGATCAATCTACATGAGGGTGGGAACCCCAGGACACCATGAGCCTCCGCCATGCATACACGAGCCTCCAAGATTTACTAGGAAAAAAAATTTCAACATAGTGGCAGAAGTATTTTACTTAAGATTAATGTTGTATATTGTAATGATTGTAATGATTTGTAACTTATATTGACTCATAAAGTGGTTTATAAGATTTATGTTTAGTCATAATTAGTCACTATTTATAATGTTTGATTAAAACTTCAAATCTTTTATAATCTTTTTACGCAACTATTTAAAAAAAAAAAAAAATCTTTACTGCGTCTAAGAACCAAGAGTTTTAAGAAAATTATTCTGTATAGCGGAGGCTCGTTTGCTGTACAGCTGAGGCTCTAACTGCATGGCGAAAGCTCGTGTCTGCATAGCGGAGGTTCATGGCGTCTCTACATACATTCTTCTACAAAAAGCTAAGACCCGTTTCAAACACAATTTTCCCCCTCAAATTTTNACATCTACTTTTTTTTACTCTACAGAGGTTTGGTCCATCACCATCACCGAATTTTAAATGTATAAATATTGTATATATATATTAATTACTCAATGTCATGCAGTCAATAAAATGATTTTAAAGGTTATACAAATTATACATCTTATCATGAACCTGGTTTATATACAGGGTTACCCACATAGGATTAGACTTCAGAGACGACTGAACAGAATTTTTATTGTCTGTTTCCACTTCCCATTCATGATTACCTGCACCCAAAGAGAATAGAATATATGTTAGAGTGGAATTTACTGGAAAAAAGTGTGAAACGGCCATTTTGTTGAAGTGTTTCCATACTGCAGGTGTACTTCACATATTTGTGCTATATAACCTTTTGGGCCCTAGAACATCATTTTATAGAAAATCTAAAATTAATATTAAAAGAAGACAAAATTATGAAATATGCTGGTTTCATAATTGACCAATGATCATTTCACATAGACTCTATGCCTTCCACTTTACAAACGATAATTTCCGTTATAACTATAAATCAAATGATGTTTTTTATTCACCTATTTCATTTTATAAAGTTTATTTAATAGCTTTAAAAAATTCAAAATTGAAATGGATAGTCTAGGGAACATACTGTATTAATGTACTCTACTGCATATAATTTGTGAACATTTACATAAATTGTACACTTTGAACTCCCTTTCAAGCTGAAAGGGACTGACCAAATTCATATCGAGGGATTGTCTAAATTCCACTCTAATAAATATTCTATTCTCTTTGCCTGCAGCTATAAACTTATTTTTTTGTCAAATAATTTTATAACCTATTAAAACGCTATATTCAATTATGTATTAATTAATATTTATCTGTAGGATTTAAGTAAAGGAAAGTTATGCAAGGTTTAATTTAAATTTAAATTAATTTGAAAAATAAATACTCTTACCTCAATACTATCTTAAATCCTCATTAAATCTTATAAAATAAATTAAAATTCAACGAATTAAATCTGTCACACTTACATGTTAATTAATTTTTTAAAAGTTGAATATTTTTCTAAATTTTCGCATTAGAGCATAGTTTTCGGTTCTTTTCGCAATAATTTTTTCGCATACATTGTTTTACAAAAAAGCATTATTTTTTGCTTTTATCATTTATTTTGGAGTAAACTTGATATACGTACTTTGAAAACTTAAATACAATGTTAACTTATTCGTTTCTAGGATTTTTGTTGAGCAGCTGTTTAATTAGACCCTTCACATACAGGGTGTCCCACACAGGGGCGGATACAGGATTTAAGTGATCGTTAACAATAACATTTACTTGTTGTCGTTGATTTTTAAATTAAACTGAAGAAAAAAAGTCAAGACTTCCATTAAATAAAAAATCAAATAGCTTGAAATTGAAAAACAAATACGATTTATCAAATTGGGAACATTTTTTGCCTCGAAATCTCAGGGGAGGGGCGAATGTCCCCCAGCCCCCCCCTGTATCCGCCCTTGGTCCCAGATCAAATTAGACCGCGTCAATGGGTCTAAATTACGATTTGGGGGACAAAACAGAAAATTTAAAAAGAATTAATCACTTTGAAAGATTTAATAAGCTGGCTAATAGAATTTTCTTTTGCAGAAAATGCTAGATTTTTCGAGTATTATGTGCGTATTTTGGCGTTAAAGATTGGAGATAATCTAATGGGACGCATCTGTAATAAAAAACCATAAACTTAGTCAAAGACTTTAACACTGAAATAAAAGATCTGTCCATCCGTGAAATATTAAAGGGGCTTTAGACGTCATTAAAAGTGAACCTTACTATTGAGTGGCATGTCCGATTTACAAAGGTAAACTTAACAGATAAATTAATTCAGAATTAAGACGATAAGAATTATTGGCAGGTCGTCGTAGTTTTCTTAAATACAAAGACGACATAACATACAGTTACTTAGCCTACTTGTTCCTCCCCTCCACCCCTACTCCAACACACCCAACCTGGTAGGAAAATTCTCCGATATAAGGAATCATTGGAAATCTGAAAAAATCTTTGATCTTAAACATTTTATTTTCTGTCAATCCTCAACCAACCGTCCACCACTTTTTCCATTAACTTGAAAATAATATTTGTTTGGCTTAAATTAGTCCAAAGTCAGAGATTTAGACCTTTAATTCTAATTTATTTAGTTTTTAATAATATTTAAATGTAAACAGGGGGGAAGGGATCAGTGAAATCTAAGTTGCTATGCCCATTCTAGCCAGAAAAAAGGGTTTAGTCCACCCCTAGACTAATTCCTGAATACGCCCCTGAATGTAAATTATAGTCCACATATTTTGTTCTCTTCATCCCAGAACGGGTTAACTGATAAGTACAACATGAGACTGAACAGACGACCGTAAACTCTTAAAGATGACTAAACGTCTTCTGCCTTGAACAGTCTTTTAATGACTTATTGAAATACTTGGCAAAGAAAAGAACAAGTTTCCAGTTGCAGGGAATTATGGATATAAATTCCATTTAATCGTATCTGAAGACTCGTCCTCTGTGGGTAACCCTGTAGCATAAAATGCCCATCACGATCTTGTTTTCTTTCTTTTGAAAATTGGCTTTACGCTGGCTTGCATATCCGTTCGAATTGATCAAATCTAAATCCCCGAACTCCGATTTTTCTTAAAATTCCGATTTGAGTCACTTATACCCAGAGAGCATACAAATTTATTTAAACAAATTCATTACATAGCTTAATATATTTACAAATTATTACAATTTACCCAAAATATAATCTAAATTTTGACTAATTGCTTAAACTAATTTATGAAGTTTTGTAAATCCAGGCTTGTGATGGTTATCATCCGATATTAAAAAGACTGTTCCTTCAATTCTATACTTGTTTGTCTGATTCACAACGGTACCCTAACATTCATCCAAGTAACTATAGAATAACTATCATCATCGTTATTCTACCTTTATATCAGTTTCCTTCCTGGTCTTTGCTGCTCATAGCTGCACTTTTAAACGAAACTGCATACGAAAAATATCCGTTTTCGATAAGAAAAACCAAGATATCTCATCAATTTGCTCAGATAAAGGTTTAAATGATACAGTTGTGAATCGGACCTGTAACTCTTTAAATGAAAGGAAACAGTCCCTTTAGGGTGATGCAGGTCACAAATTTGAATTGTGTCGATATTTTAGATATTTAATAGAACTATGTAGATATAGTTCCAACTTTATTAAACTAAAGATTGAAATCTCAATATTCTATAGGTTGGAAAGCAATCTTGTTTTTTTACCAAACATCTCAGATCTGATGTAATATCATATTATTTAACAAGACTGGCAAAAAGGGAAGTTCTCATAAATTTTCGTCCTCATTTATATTAAAAAATGGAGATTTTTAGAATTCATGATTCTTAGATAAAACAGACAAATTATTTACAAAAACAAACTTATAAATCATCTAGCTTTCTTCATTTCTTGCGTCAGATCAAGAAGAAAATTTTATAATGTATAAAATGCAACTTGGAATAAAAATTGGACTTTTAATATGTAACGTAGTGATATGATTCAGACAAGTTTCACAATTCAACATGGTTGGGCCTTGGAGATTTGAGCTGTACTGGACAGGATTAGTTCAGGAAGTTAAATAAGGAACAAGTGTCTGGTAAGAGAGAGAGAGAAGGGTTGAGATTTAATCCTATTGGTAGACGAATCCATCCGAGTTTGATCCTGATTGTGGAAAACCGTCTGACATTGAGGAAGGATGAGATAGACCCGGAGAGTCGTGTCCAAGTCCTGGCGATGGACTGAGGGCGGAGTTTTGTTGCCAGGATTCTCCAGCTCCGCCCTCCTCCCTTCGTTTTAGGCAGGCTAGCCTAGGGTTCAGGTTCCGCTCTCTAACCTGCTGCTCCAGGCCTAGGATAACATCTACAGCGTTGTTCATGATTCCTAACTTTGTCATCGGTTTATCAGACTTCATGTGAGAACTACAAATCCTTCCCAGTTCCTTCAATGCATCATTGATATCTCTAATTCTAACCCGTTCTCTCTGGTTGTTGCTCCATCTCCTGTCCTTGTCTTTTTTATCCTTCTCCTCCGGGTCTAGAGATTCATCCTCCGCATTCTCCGCGTCCTCGGATTTTCGGATCTTTTTACTTCTCGGCCGTCCTCTGGATCCCTTTCCTCCACTGCTAGATGAGCTGCTGGGCTGCTCCTCCAGGGACGAGGAGTAGAGAGGGGTTCGAGGATCATCCAAGGGTGGAACTTGAAACTGCTGCGGAAACCCTGGACTAGCTGAACCAGGATGTGGTTCAAGAACGGTTGGCACTGAAGGCATTGTGGTAGGATAAAGCATGGTCGCCGGCGGATGTCCAAACACACTGTCCAGATCTTTGTTGCTAGCGAAGCTCATGTCTTGGACTGGAAAAGATTGTTCATACGCCTCGTAACTCTGTAGGTTTGAGTAGGTAGCGTACTGCGCCGGATCATTGACCGGCGGAAAGGCCGGACTGTACCAGTCTAGCCTCGGCTCTGCTACCTGACCCTGATTAAGCGCCGGAATAAATCCATCAGGTTTGTGCTCGTGAAACTGGGGAGGATAGTGCATCTCTGCGCTCATGTGTTCCTGCTCATAGTTCCCGAACTCGTTGGGTTCCGTGTTCCGAGTAATCTTGTTGAAACTCTCCGTAAACTTCTGATACAACTGCAGGGGATCATCCTCGTTCATCCTAGAGTCACGTGATACCAACAATCTAAACAGGTTAAATCCTGGATAAACAAAATACTGAAATAAAAAATAGATAAAAGTGTCCATGTAAAAATAGATTAAAGTGTCCATGNTAAAAGTGTCCATGTAAAAAAGGAATTTTAAGATCTTCCGAGTGTCAATAAACGGGCATTAGAAATAATATTAAAACTTTCAAGAAAACTAAGACACTTAAAACTTTATACAGATAATTGATCAGAAATAAAACGAAAATATTAAATACGATGAGATATCATTTATTTTATGATACAGGGTTACCCAACATTAATCAATCAATCACAACGGATGAGACTTCAGTGACGATTCTACGGAATTTGTTTGGTCCGTTTTCTTGCATTCAGGGTTCCTTGTAGGCCAAAACTAGCATATTTCTGTGCTTGGATCATTTAGTAAACCATCAAAATACTCATTTGAATGCAAAACCAGAAATCAAGCTTCAAATCGTCTTATTTTAGAGTTTTAAGTCGTCTTTACAGTCTCATCCTTTGTGGGCAACCCTGTAGAATTCACTTTCAACTTTTTTTTTGTACAATATTTAAAAATAATTTCTAGTAATTATACTCACGTGTAAACAGGTAAGATCCAACCAATCTATCAATTAATCAAGAACTCAGCTGCATTCTTAAATCTGAAAATATTCCAGTTTAGATTAGGAAGCAATTATTGTTTGTAAACAGGATTTAGGTTCTAACCCTGCTCCGGGTACTGGTGAACATACAAGGGTTTGATTCCTGTGTATATACCTAGTACCTGGAGCTAACATGAGAATATGCTTATAAAAGATTGCATAAATGCCTGCTGACAGGTTTGTACAGAGTTGGACAATAATCTTAGGAAATATCAGATTCAACTAAGAGAGGATCACAAAGATTAAAAATGATCATGATGAGAAAGAAAGTTTTAAAAGCAAAATTGTATATGTCGAGAAAGCCTAGTTATGAAAAGTTATATAATGTTAAATAATTACAAATAAAACTTTCTTTAATTCATCAATAACCAAGACAGAAATATTTCAAAACACCAAAAAAGAAGAAAATAAAGAAAATCAAATTTTTAACTTTTGTTTTTTAAACTAAGAAACTTTCCATCCCGTTGATACAGACTTGGCTGCGTGATGCTGGTACTAAACAATAAGACATTAAAATTTTTACAAAATAAAAATAAAAAACGTTCTGTAATGTTATTTTCTCACAATGTAATGTTTTTTTTTAATATGTACACCTGAATATCAACTCACAATGCAATGTTTTTTGATATGTTCACTTAAATATCAATTCACAATGCAATGTTTTTAATATGTACACCTGAATATCAACTCACAATGCAATGTTTTTGATATGTACAAATGTATATCAACTCACAATGCAATGTTTTTGATATGTACACTTAAATATCAACTCACAATGCAATGTTTTTGATATGTACACTTGAATATCAACTCACAATGCAATGTTTTTTTGATATGTACACTTGAATATTAACTCACAATGCAATGTTTTTTGATATGTACACTTGAATATCAAAGGATTTACTGAAACGTTACAAGAATAAATATCTACAAACTTCTATATTATTGGTCCTGGTAATAAAAATTGAGGGTAAAAAATGCGGAAGAAAAGTTCAATTCCAGGTAAAATTAATAATTCTAAAATTAAAGGGCAAGGTGCTAGGACAGAAGGCAACATATTATCCGAAAACTTGATGTTACTTCTCCATCCCTGCACTTCAGGGTTCAAGTTTACTCCGGGGTTCGGACACAAGGTGGAGAATGATTACAAGGTTTCCTGGTGTTAAATGTGTCCGAGCTCAGTGTTAGGAGGAGAACGGAGCTGATGGAAGCGTCATAGAATCTGAGCTCAGATCAGGGGAATAAACATAGGTGGATCCAGGGGTAGATGAAACTCCGTATAATCCACTAGGACTAGGAGATAAACAGTCGTTAGGTCCTCCCTCCTCGCGTCGTTTTAGGCACGCGACTTTAGGATTAAGGTTTCGCTCTCTAACCTGCTGCTCCAGGGCCATGATCACATCTACAGCGTTGTTTAATATTCCTAACTTTGTCATCGGTTTATCAGACTTCTGATGAGAACTACAAATACGTCCCAGCTCCTTTAATGCATCATTGATATCCTTGATTCGAACCCGTTCTCTCTGGTTGTTGGCAAACCTTCTCTCTTTATCCTTCGCGTCCTTCTCCTCAGGGTCCATAGATGCGTCCTCAGCATCCTCGGCGTCGTCAAACTTGCGAGATTTTTTACTCCGACCCCGTCCTTTTCCTCCACAACTACTACTACTGCTACTCGGTCGGAACTCGTCAAACCCCGGATCGGAAACATCACTTTTCCGTTTCAAATTCATCTTCTGAGGGATGATTGGCGCATTCTCTAATCCTGGTCCGTACAATTGGACTTTACTGTCGGCATGTGTTTTAAGAATGTTAAGGGCGTCATCCATCTCTAATGGAGATTGCAACGGTAGATTCATGTTTCCTACAATGTCTAGGCGGGGGGAGAAGGGGGTGGAGACGGGAGTTGATGGTGCAGGACTGGGCGTGTACCCACTGCTAGGAACGCCTTCGTCGTATACAGGTTGAGCTGGGAGGAAGGGTTGCTGCCAATCGTATCCTGACAGCGTTAGTTGTTCGTAGGAAGGTTCGGGTTTAGTATGAATGTATGCTCCAGGATCCCCCGTTACCTGGAACTCCGGAGCTGGAGGAAACCAACCCTGTCTTTGGTCCGCACCCTGGCCGGAGAACGGGAAGTATTGTGGATCTGATGCAAATCCCTGGGTTGGGACGGAGACTCCATTGCTTACAAGATTATAATCCAGGTTGAACTCGTTCCCTGGATCCCTGATCTCCTGGTAAGACGTAGTCTCCTCTTGTTTAGTGATCTTGTTGAAGGACTCGGTGAACCTCTGGTACAGTTTCATGTGATCCTCCTCCACTGCGCTCATCTTGGAATTCCAACATCAAACTCAGTCTGAAAACTCCATTCTCTAATCTGAAATCAAATAGAACTATTTAAATCCTATTATCCTAGCCTAGAACAGATTAAAAATTCAAGTGTGTAAAGTGTAAAACAAGGTCAGATTTGCGGTGGATTAGAACGATATGAAGTTTTAGGCTCTTTGATTAGGGTTGGAACCACTTGGATATATCCTGGATGGACGGGAGATCAGAATAAAATATCTTTACAGTAACTCAAGTGTAGGAAGACACATGGCAAGATCATGGAAAAGAGTAGGTTATTTGACAAAGTTTCAAATATATGTTAGATTAGGTTTACACTTTCTCAGAAATAACACTTTTTTTTTTACATAATTTACCGATTTTTTACAAGGTCGTGCATAAAGTTCACGTGTGGAAATAGTAATTCAGATCTTAATACTTCAAAGTTTTTTTAGTTTCTCAGAGAAATGTCAATTACAGATCTAATTAATCTCATTAGATTCATAATATACAAAAAAAGAAAAAAAGTAAAAGAAATTTTAAACAGTCCTAAGTTAAAGTTTGAATTCATGGTAATTATTCAGGTATTTAGGGGGTGGCGGGAAAATGCAACAATTTGGTTTTCTTTTACGAATTCAAGTCCTTGCCATGTTTAAGGGTTGTTCACAGAGATAATAATATCACAGAACGGGTGAAGCCACAAAACGAACTCATTGACAACTTGGCTCGAGTTTGAACGGTTAGGACAGGTTTGTATCTGGGTACCAGCTGGAACCTGGGAACCCGGAGACTGGCTGAGAGGGGAACCCGGAATTAGTTCCTAGATTATCTACCTTCCCATCCTCTCTTCTCTTCAAGCATGCAACCTTAAAATTGAAGTTTGATTTTGAATGGTTTATCAGGATATTTTTAGAAACAGTTTAAACAATCTAAGAGGACTGTATACTTTATATCAAGGTTCCCTTAAAAGCTTTGTATTATCAAGAATGATAAATTTTCAATGTTTTTCTCTCGTTTTTTTTCATTTGTGGTTTCTTGGTAAAAATTACTGAATTTCTGAGAAAATATATTTATTCATAAAAATCCGAGAAAGGTTTGAAGAGTACCACTGTGAACTGGGCGTCCCTATTTAAATAAAAGGTAATTTAAAATTACTACGACATTTCTTTTAAATTAAATACCTTATAAATCTCTTAAGGTTTCGTTGCTACCCCTTATTCAATAAGTTACTTACAAGGAATAATGATAAAGCGAAGTATTTATCCATTTATCTCTTTATTGACGGCACAAGAATTTTTTAACCAAAAGATTTGAACAAAATATTGTTTCAATCAAATCAAAAAAAAATTAACCAACCTTGGGGTTCAGATTTCTCTCCCGAACCTGCTGCTCCAGGTTCATGATAACATCCACAGCAACATTTAGGATTCCAAGTTTGGTCTGGGGTTTATCCGACTTCAGGTGGGACATACAGATTGTTCCTAGTTCCTTCAGGGCATCGTTGATATCTCTGATACGAATACGCTCGCGCGCATTATTGGACGAGCGACGCTCAGTGTCTTTTTCGAATTTTTGCTCCGGCGGAAGATCGTCATCATCGTCTTCATTGTCGAACGTTTTTCGCTTTTTATTTCGCCGACCGGAACCGGAACCGGAAGTGGCGCTGGGTGTTGGAGAACAACTGCTGCTCGCCGCCTCGCTCAGTTTCCGTTTCCGAAGAGCTCCGGGAGGGTTCTGGTGCCCTGGGATTTGATATTCGTCGGAGTAGGCCGGAGCTAACCCTGATACAGGCGGAGAGATAATACCCGAATTTTGCAAATTCTGAAAAATTGAAAAATATTTATCTTTTACAGGATTATCGATTTGCCAGATTTACAACGGTCTCCTTTAAAACTTTTATCTAAGAAACAATGAGGAAGATGTCGTAAAATATTTGCCCAGACAATGGTTTAAAATGTACCGTTGTGAATTGTACGTGCATTTTTTCAAATGGAGAGTCACTGTAATTTTAGTGGGAAGTCCCTTTAAAATGGATTAATATAAGTTTTAAAATGTTGTAAAATGTTCTTTACCTGTGAAAAGTCTACATGGTTTCTAAGAATATGTATTGCATCGTCTAACTGATTATGTTGACCGGAGGGGCGAGGATAAGTTGACGGAGCAGGACTAAACCCTGCTCCGGGTATAGAATAGGACTGTAGAGCAGGAGGCTCTGTAGGATATTGAGGATATTCTACAGCCCAGTCCTGCTCCAGGGGGGCTGGATAGTACACACTAGGATCAGGATACTGGGAGGTTTCTCCGTACCATTGTCTCTCGTCCACAACCTTTTCACTTTTACACTGAGCTCTAGCCTCGAGTGGAAAGTATCTTGAGTCCTGATACTGTTCATGAGCCGAGGGGTAGGGTTCAGAATATTCATGTTTAGTTATCTTGTTATAACTAGACTGGAAGACCTGGTAAAGATCCATTGGGTCCCCTTCAGGTCCTCCTCGTCCTGTCATACTCATCTTACACCTAGAGATACCTAGATCTATCTATATCTGGGTATACCTAGAGACACATCTATACATATTAATCGAGGTTGTCTGAAAATAAACATTTTAAAGTTAAACCTTCAAGAAAAGTCATTTTACAAATTTTATTTTGAGAAAAGTTCTAATTATTTTGGTAAGTTTATGAAAAATAAATTTTCTGATCTGTTTATTCAGTGCTGCCCGGGTTCAAGTATACATACAGACTAAATAAACGGATCATTTCTTCTCTAAATCTGTCCTCGGTTTTTAGTACTCCTCCTGTTTATATTTAAACACTGAGAGACTTGAAACTGTGACGAGATAAGAATTAAATTTGGACAGAACGACAAATATCTTTAAATCAATCATTATTATCATCCTTATCATAATTATTATCATTGTTGAAATGCTTAATCAAGTTTCAAAGAATTTCAAAGTTCCAAAGAAAGAATTTTTCCCTAAAAAATTATGTAAGATTTTGTAAAACCATTTTCTTCAGAAAATATAATTCTGGACAAATTCATTTATCAACTTAATAAATTTATCTAAAAGGAGGTTTATTTAATGGAAGATTTAAAATACATCTTTATTCACAAAATAATAATTATACTAGATCTATTTTATATATTTCTACTTAAATATTTGCCTAGTTCTTTTTGTTGGTATCCAATGAACATCAAAACGGCTGAACCGATCAAATCCAAAAATCTTGTAGGATCTTAAATAATAATCCTAAGGACGTTTATAGAATAATAGAATTCATATAATAGAAAAATCTGCAAAACCTAACATTGTTACTCCTTTATTATGTACGGAGAAAAAGTTCAAATAAAATTTGAAGTAAAAAGAAAGAGAGGCCCCGAGCGCCCGGAAGCCTAGTATTTATAGAATTAATATTATCTATCATCAAATCTTTTATCAGTTTAGGTTTACAGTGTACACACAGAGATTTAATAACACAGTTTAATTACACCGATTTTTCCAACATTTCTACTCTTGAACCTATATTAACAAATTGAAGACCAACTCTGAACCTAATAGAATGGGTTAAAGAACTACTCTGAACCTAATAGAACAGGTTGTATGGAGAACTACTCTGAACCTAATAGAACTAGTTGTCTGGAGAACTACTCTGAACCTAATGGAACTAGTTGTCTGGAGAAAACTAAAGATATTTCTGGGATCCTAACACGGCCTCCTCTCCCCCTGTCCTCAGAAAAAAAGGTTTTCATAAAGAAGAGAACTATCATTTAAATTAACATAATCCATACTTTTTCTTTGATATTTCATGAATATTCATATTTCAGGCTATATATCCCCCCCGTTGCGTGTTTCTTTTTTACCCTGAGTATTGAAATCCTGGAGTTTTCTGACAGTTTTATATCCTTACCTTCCTAATAAACATATTAAGCTGTAGAAAATATCCATTAAATTGTTGGAGACCGTGGACACTGATAATTCTATTTATGTAGGACCTAAGCCCTCCCCCCTCCCCCCCCCCGAAAAAAAATTATGGAGTAGAAATTACAACACCCCCCCCCTTCCCGCCCCGTCAATATGAAACATCTCATCTAGAAATGTATATGTTTTCCAATGACGAGAAAATAATTAGATTCCAAAGCTAACCCTAGACCATTACTTGATCTATGATCAACCCATTTACATGATTAAAGTCGAACAAAAAGAAGAAAAAGGTAAACATTCAAGAATCTTCCCGCTTTAACGATAGAATTTGGATCGTAAAAATAAATGATAGGTAAGCAATTTATTTGCATTTTTTAGTGTCAGAACTCCAGTTCACTAAATATATAATAAGGAAAGTGTATACTTGGGACAGTTTACTAATCAAGGATATTAAGAGATTATGGCCTATTCATACAGTACAAACATCAAATATGCAGTACGCTTTCGGAGTGCAAGTGTATGGGGAGGTTTTGTATCTTGAATTTTACTCAGTTTTCTCAGAACCAGTTTATTATTGATGAAATATTGCTCTGTAAAATGTAATCCTGCACACGATAAAGGTGTAGTGGATTTCAATAGTTAAATGGAAAACAAATTCTCTTCACTAAATATTTTCAGAAATACTATAAACTCGTTGATCCCCCCCCAGAAAAAAATTGAGCAGATTTTTTCTTTTTGTGGTGAATCTTTTTTAAGATTGAGAGGGGGGATATTACAACTAAAGGATGAGATGCATAAACGTTAAATGTAAAATCAATATGGAAAACAATTAATTATTTGCCTCACTTCCCTCCGTTGGATTCAGATATATACATATCTTTAGGGAGAAGGATTTATCCAGGGGGAAAGACGGGGCAATGCGTGAACAATAAACCACTAAAGAATGGATTTGTTTTAAAACAAAACTGTTTGTAAAAAATAACAAATAATTTCTTAGTTATTGTTTTCAAAAAGAAGGTTTAAACAATTGGTGTGAAAATTGGAAATAACCGATGGGACTGATTAAATGTCTTTCAGGTTTTTTTTCCCCTAGATTTCTATGCGGAAAGGGGGAGGATACATATATAGAGATGTGGGGGGGGGGGGCGGGGGATAAAGATGTATATATGGGAGGGAGGGAGGATAAAGATGTATATATGCAATGCTAAGAATAATGAAGAATGGATATGACAGAATCAGACAATTCCTTCACAGTCTCACACAATTATACTCACACTCAAACTAACCAATGGAAAAGGGTAAAAAACAATACCAGTTCATCCGAACTAAAGATTTCTTGTTATTAATTCCCATGAATAATAGATCATACACAATATTTCAGAGGTTTATATTTTAATAATGATTTTTGACACTTTGGGGAAAAAAGAAAAGTTAAAATTTCACCCTTATTACTATTTTAAACCCAAAAATTCATATACAAAACCCTAACATATGGGGGAACAATGATTTTCAAAGACGGGGAGATGATATTTCAAGAAAATTTACACCCATGCATTAATTCTATTCTATATTAGAGGAAAAACGACATGGGATTATAGTCATTAAGGGAAATCATAATTCAGATGAAAGTTAAACTACGTTTTATTTGTCAAAATTTTATTTTTATTTTCTTTACTAAAACATGCTTAGAATCCGAATCTGTTGTATCCCAACATTTTGGTTTCCTGGATCTGAATCCGGATGCGCAAAAGTATGCGGATCCACGGATCCGAATCCAAGGGGCAAAATATCAAACAAAATTCTTTTGCTCTCAAAACCCAAATCTAAACTAAACGAATATTTTAAAATTCTTCATCTGTTCAAAAATCAGTAAATCTTTTAGAAATGTTCATGACCTGGATCCGGATCTGCATCAAATTTAAATGGATCCTAATCACTGATTCAAAATAAAAAAAGGAATTTTATGGCTAAATTAAACCAAAAATGAGGAATAAATCAATAATCTAAGTAAAAACGCCATTTAAATAATTAATATCTCAAGTTTCGATAATTATACCCTCATCATAGGAAAGGAGATGGGGGGGGGATGAGGAGAAGGGAGAGTGGGGATGAGGAGAGGGGGTGGATAATTGAACAAAAAACTGTTCTCTCAAACCGAGTAATATTGCTAGAAGAGGATGAATATTTAATGAGAGGGAAGAGTTCTCTAATTGCTCTTTTATTTTCTTAAACCTTCATAAATCTTGGTGGTTCAAGACTTAGTTATAGTTGGGTTAATTAATATATTTTCTTCTCCAACCAGAGAATATATAGGAGAAGAAAAATATAGTAATTCAGTAAGTATAAAGATTGGAGAATATTGTTCAGTTTTTATCTCTTAAATGATTCTTATCAATCACGAATCATTTCACTGGGAAAAATCTGAATTTAAATTACTTATTTAAAGAAACCTTTCTCTAACATTTAAAAAGTTGAACTTCTTAAATTTAGTTAGTCCATGTAAAGGAGATCACGGGATATATTGAAGAAGGGGCCAGGGGGGTGGAAGGTAAATGTATGAAAGAAAGGTAATCAGGGGGACTGAAGGAAGGTAAAGGGATGGAAGGAAGTTATGGGGATGGAAGGAACGTAGAGGGATGGAAGGAAGTTATGGGTATGGAAGGAACGTAGAGGGATGGACGGAAGTTATGGGGATGGAAGGAACGTAGAGGGATGGAAGGAACGCAGAGGGATGGAAGGAACGTAGAGGGATGGAAGGAAGTTATGGAGATGGAAGGAAGTTACGGGGATGGAAGGAACGTAGAGGGATTGAAGGAGGGTAAAGGGCTGGAAGGAAGGTAGAGGAATGGAAGGAAGATAGACGGATGGAAGGTGGAAGGGTGGAAGCAAATTGGAGGGATAAAAGGAAGGTAAGAGGGATGGAAGAAAGGTAGGGATGGAAGGAAGTTATGGGGATGGAATGAACGTAGAGGGATGGAAGGAAGGTAAAGGGCTGGAAGGAAGGTAGAGGAATGGAAGGAAGATAGACGGATGGAAGGAAGGTGGAAGGGTGGAAGAGAGTTGGAGGGATAGAAGGAAGGTAAAAGGGATGGAAGGAAGGTAGGGATTGTCGGAAGATAGACGGATGGATGGAAGGAAGGTAGTGGGATACAAGGAAGGTAGTGAGATTGAAGGAAGGTGGAGGGATTGAATGAAGGTAAAGGGATGAAAGGAAGGTAGGGGGAAGGAAGGTAGAGGGATCGAAGAAAGGTGGAGTGATGGGAGGAAGGAAGAGGGACGAAAGTAAGGTAGAGGGATAGAAGGAAGGTAATGGGATGAAAGGAAGGTAGAGGGATGGATGGAAGAAAGGCAGAGGGATTGAAAGAAGGTAGGGGGATGGAAGGAAGGTAAAGGGATGCAAGGAAGGTAGAGGGATGGATGGAAGGAAGGTAGAGGGATAGAAGGAAGGTAAAGGGATGCAAGGAAGGTAGAGGGCTGGAAGAAAGGTGGAGGGCTGGAAGGAAGGAAGAGAGATAGAGGGAAAGTAGAGGGAAAGAAGGAAGGTAGAGGGATAGAAAGAAGGTAGAGGGATAGATGGAAGGTAGATGGATA